CGGGTCTCTGTGGTCACACACGGAGGGTTGGTGACGGGCCCGTTGGCGGGTCTCTGTGGTCACACACGTAGGGTTGGGGGGTGCCTGTGGATGGGAAATTGGTGATGGCACCAGCGTTGGCCTGATACCCACTTGCTCCATGCCCCCTAGTGCCCCTGCTGGACTCCGTCATCAAAGAGATCGTCTCCCTGCTGTTGAGTGAAACGTCCCAGCGCAGCGAGATCCTCATTTCCCAGCTTAGCGGGGTCGTGCAGCTCTACCAGCGCGTCAGCACTGACATCTTCACCATCGCCAAGTGCTCCCAGAAGGTATGGCTGGAACAGACCTGCACGGACTCCGTGCTCTGCTGGGCTCAGCCAGCTGCGGCCCGACACGCATTTCCACGGTCCCACTCCACTCCTCTTTGAGCAGGCTGAGGGCTCCCCTTCCCCATACCACCACCCCATGCCTTCAGCTGGATCGGTGCCAAGCCCAAGGAGCAAGGGTTCAGCCCCACCACCCAAGCCAGGCACTCTGTATGGGTCCCATGCTGGCGTAGCCGCAGGGAGGCTGGCTGCTGTCAGCAGGCGTCTCCCAGAGCTAATAACTAGAGCTGGGCAAATAGTCAGTTCACCAAAGAAAGCTTGTCATGGCACTGAAACATGTACATTCCAGCTGAAGTTGGTGACTAGTTTCAGATGAAAAAACCTGAAAATAAACGTGCCAGCAATGTGGAAGCAACCCGTTCCACCACTGCATTTTGTTCAGCCCAAACAAAGGAGTTTTGGTTTTTCATTTTATCCAGAGAAATGGATAAAATTCTGTTTGTTACATTTGTTTTTCCAGAGTTTTCACTCAGCTCTATAAATAATCCATTGGGGCGAGTGGGGCATTGCCCCCACAGTGCCTCAGTCTCTCTGCAGACTCACAGCAGCTGTCTCTGTGCCAGACACACTCAGCGCAGCCCTGCCTCTCAGAGCTCAGTGGGCGGAGATCTGGGGCACTCAGCACGAGGGGCTGGGCGATCTGCTGGGTCCAGCCCCAGTCTGACAGAGAATGGCGCTCATTCTTCCTGCAGCTGGAGCAATACCAGGACCAGATGACAGAGCTGCAGGAGCGTGTGGAGTATGTGCGAGCTCTGAACGAGGTGATCCGTCAGCACTTCCGCCCACTCAGCCTGGATGAGGAGAACCTGGAGAACCTGGTGAGCTCCCAGCAATGGCATGCTATGGTTGTGAAGGGAGACCATAAGAACTGCCAGACTGGATGAAACCATTATCTTGTCTACATCCTTAACATCAATGACTTCATGTGGCAGTGAGTTCCACAGGCTAAATATACTTTGTGTGAAAAGTTTCTTTCCTACCTTCCCTTATAATTGACAGTCCCCTTGTTCCTGTAATATGAGTCAGGGACAACAGAAACCCCCAATCTCCTATTTCTTTTCCAATCAGTATTTGTAGACTTCTTCGAGTGCTTGCTCATGGCCATTCCATATTAGGTGTGTGTGCTCGCCACATGCACCGGTGCTGAAAGTTTTTCCCTCAGTGGTATTGTCACGGAGTCCCCAGGCGATGCTTTGGAACTGCTTCCCACAAAGCCAGTCAGGACTTTGGGGAGCATCCTCTCCCTTGGGGCAGACTGTCCTCAGGGCAAGAAGCTCACACGGCTTCACCTTCCTGGGTCTGACCTTGGAGCATTCAGCATCCTCTGCCCCTCCATGCACTTCCCACAGCAAGTCCGCCCAGGCGGGGTCCTGGGGAAGCCAGAGGGTCCTGCACCCCCACTTCGCAGTCAGACATGACTCTCAGCCAGCCAGTAAAACAGAGGTTTATTAGATGACAGGAACATGGTCTAAAACAGAGCTTGTAGGTACAGAGAACGGGACCCCTCAGCCGAGTCCATTCTGGGGCCCCGCGAGCCAGACAACCCCGTCTGCCCTCACTTCCCTTCCCTAGCCAGCCCCAACCTGAAAACCCCCTCCAGCCCCTCCTTTCTGGCCTTTGTCTCCTTCCCGGGCCAGGAGGTCACCTGATCTCTTTGTTCACCTTTAACTATTCCCTTACAGGGGGCAATGCCCCAGCCATTTGTTGCCAGGATGCAGTGTCTGCCATTTATGTACCCTGGAGACTTAAGAAATGCATAGGGGGAAACTGAGGCACCTACACAGTATTCAGAGGAAACTGTTCTTAATGTTTCCTCTGAATACTGTGTAGGTG